ATCCATTCATAACCATGTTTGGAAACTTTAAAACTGATGCAAACTACACACATCGATTTCAAACTCATTCAGATAAATTAAAAAAACTCCTTTAAGGTCAAGCAAAACGTCAGTGGTCCCACTCATCGCCTAAATCATACAGTAGATTTAATTATATCATATGGAACCAATCCAACTGATATAAATATTATACCGCAAAGTGACGATCTCACTGATCATTACATGGTACGTACTGCTGAAATTTGTCATGTTGCGCCACGTTATCGACCAGGAAGACCAATCCTTCCAACCACTATAGATAGATTCTCAAATTACTTACCTGATCTATCTCAGCTGCTCAATGAAGCCAAACAAACAGATGAACTAGAGGAAATGACTAGCAGTTTGAGCACAACTTTCTAGTACATTAGATATTGTTGCACCAATTAGATTAAAAAAGGTTAGAGAGAAAACTAAAGCACCATGGTACAACAGTGCTACGCATGCTATCAAGAGAGAAACTCGCAACTTAGAGCGTAAATGGAAACAAACTAATTTAGAGGTCTTTAGAATCGCGTGGAAAGACAGTATGTCACATTATAAAAAGGCCCTAAAAACAGCCAGGGCTGAGCATCTCCGCAAACTAATCGAAAATAACCAAAATAATCCAAGGTTTCTATTTAACACCGTGGCTAGACTAACAAATATACAAACATCACCAGAGCAAAATATTCCATTACAGTTTAGTAGTAATGATTTTATGAATTACTTCAATGAGAAAATAGAAAGCATCCGAAACAAAAAAAATGCACATAAATGTACTTCTGAAGAAGGCTAGCTTCTGAAGAAGGCTGCATCTCAATACTAGTTCTACTTGATCTTAGCGCTGCGTTCAAAACTAAAGATCATAAAATACTCTTGGATTGACTACAAAACTACACTGGTGTTCAGGGACAGGCATTAAGCTGGTTTAGATCGTACTTATCGGACTGTTACCCTTTTGTCTGTTTAAATGGGGAAAAATCAAAGATAACGTCTGTAGACTATGGAGTACCGCAAGGATCGGTTTTAGGCCCTCTGCCATTCTCAATATGCTGCCACTTGGTAATATTATAAGAAAACATGGAATTCATTTCCACTGTTATGCTGATGACACTCAATTATATATTTCATCACGACCAGATGAAAACACTTTAATATAGATACAACTTTAATATAGAAGGATGTGCTGTTACTTATCCACTACAGTAAAAGACCTGGGTGTTATACTAAATCACCACTTGTCTTTCGAACACCATATTTCATGTTACAAGGCCTTTTTCCACCTTAGAAACATTGCTAATCTACGTAACATACTATCTGTTTCTGATGCAGAAAAGTTAGTTCATGCATTCATGACCTCAAGACTAGATTACTGTAATGCTTTATTAGCCGGTTGTCCTGCATCCTCAATGAACAAGCTATAGTTAGTACAAAATGCAGCGGCTAGAGTTCTTATAGTTCAAGAAAATATGATCATATAACACCAATTTTATCATCTCTACACTGGTTACCAGTTACAAAGTAGTACTACTGACCTATAAAGCCCTAACTGGTTTAGCTCCTGTGTACTTAATGGACCTTCTATCGCCCTAGAATCCATCGCGTTCTTTAAGATCAGAGACGACTCAACAACTCAATGCCAGCGATATGCTATGCCCTAAATTATTATACGATTAACTAAATGTGTTTTTTCCATGTCAGCTGCTTTAAAAACAATATGTATTGTGAAAAGCGCTATACAAAAAAAAAAAAACATTTTCTCAGTGACAAGCTTTATGTAGTGCAACGAATTCAGCTGTAAATGAACAAATGAATTAATGTATCACAGATCAATCTTTTTACAGCTTCTTTGGACTCTATTTGTTTAGAATATTGCCAAAACTATTCAGATGGTGGTTTGGAAAGTGAGAAATGTATCGGTAAAAGTTGAAAGACACTTTAAAGACTTCTAACTGTGTGATTTAAACAAATAAGTTCCACAGGGGAAGGAACTGATGCCAGCAGTCAATCACAGCACAGGAATGGAAAAAATGCCAAACTGCAATCTCCTCCTCCTCATCGGAAAGGGATAAAGGTACGCTTTCAACAGACACTCTTTGTTCTGGGTCTCAGTTCAGCAAAAGTAAGACAGCCGATACATTCAAGTTCTGAGTCTCCCATCCAGTGGGACATCAATAGCTACAACAACATTCTGAGTCGCGGCCTGCAAGGGTGAGACTAACAGATCAACCATGTACTGAGCCTGCGGCCTGTTACAGGTGAAGGCAGCCAAACATACAATTTCTGAGTCTCTGGCCTGCAAAAGTGAGACAGCAACAGATACATTCAAGTTCTGAGTCTTACATCCGGTGGGACAACAACAGATACCCCCATGTTCTAAGACTGTAAAGAAAGAGACAATAACAACTACAGCATGTCCCGAGTCTCTATGTCAGAGAGACAAAAGTGGATCAGCCAAGTTCTGAGTGCCTGGCTCAAAGGGGTAGAAGACGTACAGAGACATTTGCAACAAGGTTGAGGACTCTTTAAGGACCTTCCGCACCTACTTCTGGGCCTCAACTCATTGTTTTACAGATTTTAGGACCCTTTTGGTGCTCCTAAAGGCTGTTGAAATGGATTCTGACTCCTTTCCCCACTGCACTGTCACCCAGCACAACCAGTGGAAGACATCACGGCCATTGAACTGCTCTTTCAACCATGAGGAATGTAAATATCAATTAAACAAACCTCTTTCCAGAGACCTTGGGAGTGTTATATATTATCAGTATATGATTTTCTAATTTACATAAGAGGTAATATAGCTGATGTTAGTTAAAAACACATAATTTTTCATTTATATGTTTGATGCATAAGGCTTTTCGCCTTAATAGTTTCAGAAAAACAACAGTTTATGTAGAAAAGAAAAACCCAAGGCACTCTTCTTCAAAATTATTTTAAAAGCCTTTATTTGCTGGCTATTTTATGATAGAACATTTTTTTTCTATAATGAAATAGCCAGTAAATGTAGGTCTTTATAAATCATTTTGAAGAAGAGTGCCTTGGATTTTTTTCTTTTCTACATTTACTTTAATTCCCGACCGCAAAGAACACCTTCAAACATCTGACTGAAATCCCTGAGCACCCTGGACACTTTTCTTGTCTTGCTAAACAACAGTTTATCTTTCCATTATATAAATGTAACTTCCATTGACACACTCAACTTAATCACTTGTATTTAATTCGTCTGATGCACTTTATTCCTTTATCATTCATAGTATTCGTTCCGTAGTTGTTAGTTATTCTTGTTTATCTTTTTACTAATAAAATCTATTTTATCACACCTTTGTGCTGAAAATAGAAAAGAGGTTTTACAAGTTAATGATATCAATCACCAATCTTTCAGATAAATCAGCTGACCATTCTCTCACATTGCCCAGGTAAAAGAACTTGACTGGTTCCCTGACCAAAGAGTGGAGGGAAGTGGTCATCTGATATACTCATTACCACAAGTGTGATGTGTCATCCAAGAATTACAACGTCGGCTCTGACACGAGTACCAATTACAGTATGCATCCATCCATCCTTCCATAATTGTGTCTGTCCGCAAGTCAGATTTCAAAGCTTGTTTTTCAAAAACGTTTAAACATTTGGTTTGTTTTGACAAGCTTTGCTTTTCTAGTTAAGAATTGATGGTTAAGAATTTACTTTTTTTGTTTCGTGAGAGAAAATTTTGCTTCGTGTTTGCTACCTCAATTCAGTTATCGAATTGGAATTTAAAAGGCATTCTCAGTTCAACTCAGAATGATGAATGATCCATGCTGGTCACACTACTCACTCCTCTGAACACACTACAGCTTGCAAAATACAGCAGTGTGATGAACAAGTGCATTGATCTCATAAAGATGACCTCAGCAAAACCTTAATTAAAAAAGCAACTAATAATCAGAGACAACCATAAATACACAAATGGCACAAGATAAAAGGTCTCTGTCCGGATAGTACAACATTTCCACAGTCAGGGAGATGCTGTAGATATTAGGCTTCTGATTTATTGGCTTTGTGCATCATCAGAAACATCAAATCCTAATAAAGGTTTATGAATGGAGCAGGGCAGTCTTCACTATAATGTGACACCCATGATTGCAGAAGCCTCAAGGATACACCATCAGGAATATGAAAAGAAATGATCCCATGAGAGAATGACAAAGCCAACAGGAATACAAATGATTTCCATTACTCATAATGTATGACCCTTTTCAAACAAACAAAAAAAAAGCTCCTTTGAGTATCAGCAAAAAAGGCAAAGATACAGACTCGTAATGGAAGGGCTCTAATAGAAACTGTCAAATTAATGAAAGGCTATTTTGAATAATTCATATGCCATTTAAAATTTGTTTGTGATTGAGTGGCAGAAATGTTGTAAAATGGAAACTATGTCTCTACCCTTTGAGTTCAACCTAATATTAAAAAGCTTCATTGCAGAAGAATAATCGCATAAAACCATTTTCATCGCTAGCAGCTTGTGCAGAGAGCCTGATATTCTAGAGCAGTGGATATGAACTGATGGGTCACACCCTAAAAAAATGTGCCTCAGGTCTGTTCTGAAGGGTTGTGAAAAGCAAGGGAAATAAAATGTTAAATGCCAATATAAAACAGCAACAAATCATATAATTATGCATCTAAATTCTCTGTATTTTAGTGCAAATTTATCTGTCACGTAATACCAACATAAAAAGGTTCACGATAAACGATAAAAGTTTTTACTGATTGCAATGTTACACTGTTGGCAGGAGAGATGTATATTAACATTAAATCTCAACGTCTAAAGGATATGTTTGTATGATACATCAGTATTGATTGCTCTGCAAATTGATTTCCAGTGTAGAAATCTGGATCCTTAAGCAAAACCAGTTAAGAACAATTGATAGAGCATATTGATAGAGCATCAGCACAATGTTAGCTAGTCTTATAAGACAGAAGGAAGATCTCAGAAGACTCACAAGAAAAACTTCTCGTCCCAGATGGGGTTGAGATTCCCGAAAACAGTTTTGGTCCTCCGTTTGGTCTTTCCCACTTGTACTGTGACGTAGGGGTCGCTGGAGCCCGTCTTGTCTTTGGCTTGCAAACCTTGAGCACATAAAACTAGAGAAGGGAGACAGAAAAAAAGAAAATGTTTTGCAAATTGTGTATTCTAAAAGAAAGAAAAAACATTTCCATTGAAGATAAAATGCTATTGTCTGAAGGATTGTCTATTGTCAGTTTTTTTGTTTTTAGTTTTATAAATCTGCGATTTTTAGTTATAATTTTCATATAGACCATTTCACAAGATGTAAACAACACTGGTCCAGAAGCACTTCCTGTTTCAGTTTGTAACTCTTTATTTCACATGTAAAGAAAACATCTTAAAGATGTTTGTTTAACTTTTTGATTCAGTTTTAAATGTTCTGTTGGTTGTATTTTATCCCAGCTTTTATGTAGTGTTAAAAAACTGAAACAGGAAGTGCTTCTGGACCAGTGTTGTTTACATCTTGTGAAATGGTCTATATGAAAACGTCTCAGGTTACGACTGTAACCATAGTTCCCTGAGAAGGGAACGAGAAGATGCATCACTGTTACGCTTTGGGAACGCTTCCAGCGTGATTGCGTCTGAAGCTTCTATGTCAACTAGTCCAATAGAAAACATGACCGTCATGTTGATGACGTCATGACCAGGAAATGATAAAAGAGCATCCGGTGCAAACCGTCATTAGCTTCCAAATTGCCAAAGCAAGCTGATACAGGGATGCAGGAAGTATGGCAGGGTGACGCATCGTCTCGTTCCCTTCTCAGGGAACTATGGTTACAGTCGTAACCTGAGACGTTCCCTTTCGAGGGAACTCGCAATGCATCACTGTTACGCTTTGGGAACGAGAATACCCAAATTGCCAGACTTTCAAATGCCTGAGTGTCAGCCTGTTGTCACACCACACTGAGCACTACTAAGCACCTGAAAACCTGGGGCAGCCTCTAGGTCCAGGCTATAAAATCTGACAAATGTGAGAGGATAGGATCGACCCGCCGCATCACAAACATCTTGTAGAGAAACTCCAGATAAAAGAGCTTTAGAAGCCGCCATACACCTAGTAGAATGGGCCCTGACCGCCAAAGGGCAAGGCAGGCCAGAAGACTCATAAGCCAAAGAAATAGCCTCGACTATCCACTTGCTGACTGTCTGCTTTGAAGCAGGAAGACCTTTCTTGGGAGATCCAAAGCAGACAAATAACTGATCAGATCTCCTAAATGCAGAAGTCCAGTGCTCACACTGGCCACAAAAGGTTCAATTTTTCCTGGTCCGGAGAAGTATACGGCGGAGGACAAAAAGCCTGTAGCACAATAGGCCTCGGAATCATGGTAGGCACATTAGGCACATAGCATTGTTTAGGGTATAAACATGCCTTGTCCATCCCTGGTGCAGGTGGGGGAAACCGAAAGGTCCTGAAGGTCACCAACTCTCTTAAAGGGTTAGTTCACCCAAAAATGAAAATTCTGTCAGTATTTACTCACCCTCATGTTGTTCCAACCCCGTAAGACCTTCGTTCATCTTCGGAACACAAATTAAGATATTTAAGATATTAAGATCGCTCCTGCATACAGTCCATAGGCTTCTTGAGGGACTGGCTCTTGCCGTCCCCGAAAAGTCATAAAAGACATCGTTAAAATAGTCCAAGTGACTACAGGGGCTCAATCTTAAGTTTATCAAACGACGAGAACACTTTTGTGCGCAAAAAAACAACAAAAATAACGACTTTATTTCAACTATTCGTTTATTTCTCCCTCTGCGCGAGTCAGGTTACTAGTTTAATAGCGTAAGCTTCTGTTATTGTACGTCACACGCATCACACACACATGACCAGCGTCGGCCAATAGTGAGCCTACGTGTGACGTAGCTCTATGCAATCACACTACGTTAACGGACTACAGGCTTATGGAGAAGGAAGTGAATAGTTGAAATAAAGTTGTTATTTTTTTGCGCACAAAAGTGTTCTCGTCGTTTGATAAACTTAAGATTGAGCCCCTGTAGTCACTTGGACTATTTTAACGATGTCTTCAATTACTTTTCGGGGACAGCAAGAGCCAGTCCCTCAAGAAGCCTATGGACTGTATGCAGGAGCGATCTTAATATCTTAAATATCTTAATTTGTGTTCCGAAGATGAACGAAGGTCTTACGGGGTTGGAACAACATGAGGGTGAGTAAATACTGATAGAATTTTCCTTTTTGGGTGAACTAACCCTTTAAGGGATGAAATAGCTAACAGAAACACTGTTTTAAAAGTGAGAAATTTCTCTTAAACTTAATCCAAGGGCTCAAAGAGAACCTCAGATAAGCCTTCAAGAACTATATCCAAATCCCAAGCCAGTACCCTAGTGCGAGTTGCAGTCCTCATCCTCAATGTGCCACGGAGGAAACGTGAAATCAAGGGGTCTCGACCGAGAGAAGTACCACCCACTAGGGCGTGGGAAGCCGCAATGGCTGCCACGTAAACCTTGAGCCTGGAAGGACATAGACCTGATGAGAAACGCTCTTGTAGAAACTCGAGAACTGTGTTGACCGAACAATTAACTGGGTCCCACTGGCATTGGTGACACCAGGAAGTAAAAAACTTTTCGTTTAAGTGCATAAAGTTTCCTCATTGCAGGAGCTCTGGGGCTTAAAATGTTCTCAGCTACTTCCGCTGAAAGACCACTATCTATGAGTTGGGCCCCCTCAGAGGCCACACCCACAATTTCCAAATCTCTGGGCGGGGGTAGAATATAGTGCCCCCTGCCTGAGACAGAAGGTCTCTCCTGACGGGCACCTCCAAGGGAGGACCGTCGAGAAGATGAATGAGGTCCGCAAACCAAATTCGACTTGGCCAGCGTGGTGCTACTAGCAATAGACTTATTCCATCCGGGCGGATTTTCTCCAAAACTCCTGGGAGCAGAGCTACAGGGGGAAAGGCATACAGACGCAGCCTCGGCCATGTCTGAACCATAGCATCCAGCCCCAGGTGGCTGGTTGAGTGAGGGAAAACCAAAGAGGACAGTGCATCGTGTGCAGAGACGCAAACAGATCCACTTCTGCCTGGCCATAAACCCTCCAAATCTGCTCCACCACCTCGGGGTGGAGCCTCCATTCCCCTGGCCTCAGCCCCTGCCTCGACAGTGTGTCTGCTCCTACATTCTGGACCGCTGGAATATATATCGCCCTCAGTGAGAGCACTTTCCCTAGGGACCACAGGAGGATCTGGTGTGCCAGTTTGCATAGTGGACGCGAACGCAGCCTGGCATGCCTGGAGCACAGCCATAGTAAGGAGACATGCACCAGCCTGACCTGCTGCCGTATAAGCTTTGCCCACTAACGTAGATGTTGCTTTTAACGATTTATACGGCTGTCAACTTTAGTCGTTTAGTCGACTAATCAGTCGATGCCGTCTTGGTCGACTCACATTCTTATTGGTCGACCAGTTGCATTTTTTCTTTTACAATAGAAATATTTTTTTAATGATTTACTCCTTGATATTTATTCCTGTATAGGCAGTTATATATTGCCGTATTCTAAATATAATTAGCCTATACAGTATTTTGTCCCCAACTTTTAAGTCCCCCTCCGTTCATATTTTGATCTACTTTATAAACATTCCCAGTGGTCTTTAAAATATGATTATGCCATTTTTAGCCAAAATCACAAAACCTGTGCCGTTTTATGGGACTTCACTTCAGCAGAGCCGCAGTAGCTCATTAGCAATTCGCCTCTGGGTTGTGGGCGGAGCTGTTAGCACGGAGACGACCCTCCCCCTCCCCGTTGCTGAGAGCTCTCCTCTGTCTCTCCCGCCAGCTTACTTACAAATTATAAGCAACTCAAATGTTGTATTAATTTATTAGTTGTTGAGTCTTAAGTTCAGGCTATTGCTGTCTGATTCTATTAGTTCACCTCACCTCCTGATCCGAGACATTCATTCCTTGCAACTTCATATTTATCAGGTTTGTTCTCCTCCTCTCGTGTCTCGATACGTTAGCTGTCGACTCGTCAGTGTCTGACTCTGATCTGTCTGCTGGGCTGTGCCGTGTGTGATACAGAAGGACCGGAAAGAGTAATGATTAGTTCATATTTCGAGTCTCGAGTTCGGGTTCGGCCGCGTCCGAGTCTTTCGTTCTTCCCATCAGTCCCATAGACTAGAGGCTATGCTGTCAGTACCGGAAAGAGAAATGATTAGTTCATCTCTCGAGTCTTCGGGTATGAGTCGTTCTTTTGTCACTTGACCGCTGGTATCTCGCATGAAATACATTAGTTTCGTATTATTGACTGCGTCTGAATGTATATTGTTTTATATTTATAGGTATTAAATAACAAAATAAAACATTATATGAAAAATAAAAGTTCCATATTGTCCCTGTCCGTCTCTTTTCTATATTGTGCATCTGTGGTGTGTTTTATATATATATTATACATGAATTAACTACTATTACAGTATATTATACATTATCTACGTGCTTGTTTGTAAAAAGTTTAGGGAATATCAGTATGGAGGGAGGGGAGTATGAGCTTGTGGCCCTACCCAGTGGAGTTAATACGTTACAACTCCAGTCTATTTTAGCTGGCATTTTAGCGTCTGCTACCTATTCACAGCCATTTGAATGTAGAAATACTCAGAAATGCAACTTTGAGCTTAATTTTCCCAAGAAACGCCCTCTAACATTAGAAAAATTACACAAATACATGTTAACAGCTAGAAAAAAAAATGTAATCGGAGGGGGTCTTTAAATGCTTTAGTTTAGGCTATTTTTGTAACTGCGCCACAGTTTTAGCGCACACACACAGAACACTCGGTTCGCACCTGTGGCTGGAGCTGTGCTGCTGCTTCTCGCTCAGTAAGGGATGCTGTATTCATTCAGTTAGAACGCTGCTTGTTTTGGCTTTACTCGACAAAATGTCTGGCTGAATTTTAAAACAAAGTCAACAAGACTGTGGAGGGAGGCGACCGCGTTGCTCCATTATGAGCGCGCACACCGCGCACCTACATTTGAAATCGAACTTAAGCGTGCAAAAGACGTGAGCAGCCCTTTTAACGGCTTTATCATGCGGACTCAAAAGATTGTTTTTTCTTAATATGTTTTTTTTTTAATTAGTACACTTGATGCATTTGAAAAAAGCCTAAATAATGCAACAAAACGAAAATAGACCTATATGTCTTCCAAAATACAGCCTATTATAATTCTGATTTTTTTTAGGCTATGTGGGATTTTTGTGTGTTGTTTTAAAACGCCTTGATCAGCTGGACAAAAGTTAACCCATAGCCCATTGTAAGTAAAGAAGAATATAAAGCCTGTATAAACGAGAGCTTTTGTTAGGATTTTTCATTATGTGGCAGATAGCAGTTATATTTTTTGCAGCGTGTGGTGTGGTCAGGTGCACGATTGTGACCGTCACTATAGACCTAGGACAGTGCTCCTCACTTTTTGCAGTTAAAAAAAAATCACTTAATTTTCAAAGAATTGTATTATTATTATAGTTTTATTTATTTGTGATGTTTTTTCATTGTTGTTTTATAAATGCTCTATGACAATTGTTTAAAAAATGTTCAATCAAAACATCCCGTTTTTTTTAGTCGACTAATCGTTGACTAAAGATTTCTTTGGTTGACTACAGCCCTAATGGTTTAGTGGGCAAAGCTGTGGCCTTCAGAGACGATACCAAACCGGGCGACAGATAGCTCGCGAGTGTCTGTTCAGCCCGGGGCATCGCCTCATAACCGTAGTCTCAGCCCCCTTATAACCGAATAAATATTAACTTGGGGGCTGAAAACACATGCTGAGTACGGCTTATTCCATGTTCTAGATATTTCATGATGTAAATCGGGGAAAAATGGAAGGCCTTGTGGTGGAAGTGATGCACTAGATGAAAGAAAGCGCTCGTCGAGTTTGCTTTTAGGACGAGCGCCTTTCTTCTCAGCTGGCCAATCAATTTGTAATTTCTCTACAGCTCTAGTGATCACTTCCACCAGCTAATCATATACGGGAGAAACAGATGGCGAGTCTCTTTATCCCGTGTGTGTGCTTTCACTGTCGATGTCGAGTACATCTACCTCCTTGGAGCTAGAGCACTGAAGCATCGGGCTCTCTCCCATTCTCGCGGTGTTGGCAGTCAGCCCCCTCGAAGGCTGACACCGCATGCTCCACTCCGAAACAACCTACACACAGCTCGTGAGTATCCCCACCCGTTAAATAACGCGGGCAGGGAGAAGCACAAGGCTTGTACATTTGTTTCGCTATAATAGTTTTCCAACAATATATTCACAGACAACAGTAAATAGAACAGACAGAGACACAGATCGCTTGCTGAGGCAACAGAAGCTAATGCCGGTTTGCACCGGACCAGGAAATGCTTTGCTCTTTGACCAGGAAATGCTTCATTTCCTGGTCATGACGTCATCCGCCCATAACGGTCATTTTTCCTATTGGACTAGTTGACATAGATGCTTCAGACGCAATCACGCTGGAAGCGTTCCCAAAGTGTAACAGTGACGCATCGCGAGTTCCCTCGAAAGGGAACAAAGGTTTAAAAACTTCAAGTTACGCTGGTGCCAGATGCTTCGTAAGAACACAATCCATCCTTGAACATCACTCATGTCCTATCTGAATGTGCGTATACATATGGGACCCTAACTAATAACTGCAATAATGCCACATAAAAACAGTGTGTAGCCTGACTGTGGCACTAAAATCAGTCAATGGAGATACCATTCGTCACAGAGCCAATAGTAGTTCACAGGAAGCTCTTGCCTCATTAATTATGAAAGAGCAGGGTGCTAAATTATTCAGGGAACATATATCCTTGGGCTTGGAGACAGACAGACATTGGTGCAATGTCACCAGGCTGGTTGAAGAGGGTAATATAGTCCGAATTAATTTAGCTAGAATGAAAGAGCGATGGCATGTTTCTGCTTCCAGAGTTGTGTTCACACATTGATGTCATGTTAGTGTGTCTGACAGTGACGGTCATATTGGTTTTGGGGTCATGGCACAACACTCTCTCACTGAACGATAGAATGACAGAGCGATAGATAGAACAATACATAGAATGATAGATACAACGATAGATAGATAGAACGTTAGAATGTTAGATAGATAGAATGATACATAGAACGATAGAACGATAGATATAGAACGATAGATAGATAGATAGATAGATAGATAGATAGATAGATAGATAGATAGATAGATAGATAGATAGATAGATAGATAGATAGATAGATACATAGAACGATAGAACGATAGATAGATAGATAGATAGATAGATAGATAGATAGATAGATAGATAGATAGATAGATAGATAGATAGATAGATAGACAGACAGACAGACAGACAAACAAACAGAGAGACAGACAGACAGACAGACAGACAGACAGACAGACAGACAGACAGACAGACAGACAGATAGATAGATAGATAGATAGATAGATAGATAGATAGATAGATAGATAGATAGATAGATAGATAGATAGATAGATAGATAGATAGATAGATAGATAGATAGATAGATAGATAGATAGATAGATAGAGCCCTTAGGTGTATATAAGTGTATGTTGCAGTCAAAGTAAATAAGAATGCACAGACTCTAGTGTTGAAACTCAAGATAAATAAATCTTTGCATGAATACTTTCTGAAATGGGAGTTTCGACCGTACGCCAGGATAAATTAAATCAGAAAGCTGTTTTTCTCTCTTTGTTCTATTGACACTCTGGCAGTGTTGCAAGCTTGGCAATAATTCACAGCCTCTGTTGGCCCTCAAAGTCAGGTGAAGGAGCAACACTGATAGGGACATATATAGGAGCAAACTTCACCTGGCACTGGCATTTTTTTTAAATGATGACTCTCACCCCCTGCACAAAGAGTTTCAGTTATTACCATTTGCAAGGAGGTATAAAGTTCCAAGGTGTAGAACGAAAAGATATAAAAGCAGCTTCGTACCAAATGCAATTAATATGCTTAACACCGTGTCCTAACTACACGCGACACGACGCCGCGACACGCGATAAAAGGTATCTTTTCCATGTTAATCAGAGTTTTTATCCTAACCAGACGCGACAGCGACACGTGAAGTTTCTAATTTAGAAACGGTTCCTATTCCTGCGACGCCGCGGCTGACAGAATGAAGAAATTACACTGGTTATGAGTATACATTATTTATATTTAGTTAAAAAATAGGCCACTGTGCCACAAGCGATAATGGATAATTTACCTCAGATTTTGAAAGCATATAATATAGCGTTCAAAATGAATTCTATGCAAACATACGACTGTACTTCGTAACAAAATTAGTCAATGAGTATATTTTGTTAATGTTTTGATTTTTAATAATGTTATTTCTTGATTTGATTATGTCCTTACCCATTTCCAATGCAAGTGCGGGCCAACAGTGCGCTTTCACAGAGAGACTTCTGCTCACACGCTGTTCTGGATGTGTGGCATCTCACAGTCGCGTAGCGTCTAGTGTGGATAGACACACTTGCTGTCGCTGGAATTTTATCGCGTCGCGTGTATTTAGGACACGGTGTAACAAATTGTAGAGGTGGTTTTCAGATATGTTGTACTAGGGGTCTTATATTTGATATTATGATTTTATGATATTACAAAGATCATATGAAATGTTTTGAGAGCACTTTCTTGAGAGCTCTTCACTAAGTAATGAGTATTTATTTATCTGTCATTATGTGTCGTGTAGTATCCTGTGAACTGGATTCCACAGAATGTCATTGCACTGTAAAACAAATTTATCTAGGGGTATAATAAAAGAAACCTGACCTAACCTAACCTGAACTAATACAGAGGCTTCTGGAAGATAAAATATGACCGAAACATAGTAATGTGAAGATATACGTCATGCAGACGGACAGAAACTGTTCTTTATGACTCAGAGAGACGGATGTGACTGCCTGTGTTTCTGTCCACAGCAGATGGTTGTTGTCGTCTGGCGGTTTAAGCTGTCAGAAAACAAGCAAAACTCTTGGCGCATTTCACAAACTAAACTGAGCAGCATTTCCTCCTTGTAGGGTCTGATCCAGCCACACATGCAGAGATGCACAAATAGACTGTAAGGGTGAATCTCATAAAACTTGTCTAGAACGTGCTCGGCCAAGTTCTTGTTAGGTTATGTAAGATTTGTTCATTGCTTACCCGTGATGGTGATTTTGGCAGACCACTTGGACGTCCCCTCCAGCACGGCCTGTTTGGCTGTCTTCAGATGGGTCGTGAAGTCTTCCTTCGTGAGCAGAAACATCTCCTGAATCAACTCGAACACCTCGGGTCGGTTCTTCTCCCTGATTTTCATCCGTTCCTTCATGGCCATGATGATGTTTTGGGTTTTGTCCTCGGCTCCATGTTTCGAGCTCTTCTCTACTGCACCTATAGAGGACGATGAGATTTACATGTCATCTTACGTAATCTCTGATAATATGAGCCACAATTACAATTTCTATACTGTACGGCCTAAACAGTATATAAGATAAAGTGAAATGCATCCTAAATTATAGTACATTAAAAATAGCATGTTAAAGGTGCCTAGATGGTGTATTATTTCTGCAGGTTTTTGAAAGTATGAATGCATCTGTGCATGCTTTACGAGCCAATATTTCTCCAAAAAAAAAAAAAAAAAAAGATTTTGGAAAAATGTATGATGATGATTGCCATTTTCAGCAGTACAAAAATGGCAAGGGATGTGAGAGTGCAAGTTTATAGTTGTAATCTAAGGATTGGAATTATGCATACATATAATGAGTATGCATTATGCATATAATCAAATCCTGAATAATTGAACACAATGCTTTGTGAATGATGGACATTGCAACTCCATAAAAATCTACGGAATTTCCTTAATTAAGATTTTATAATGATATAGTTCGTCTTATTCAACATGTGCTTTCCCATCATCAGTAAAGTACAGACTTCAAGTGCTTAATATACAGTAGTATGCAAATTTACAACCATGTCAACGTGCATATAAAAAGTGGATATAGTATTTGCACATCCCTAGTGTGCAGCCACGAAACAGACGATTATAGATGATTCACTGCCGCTTGAAAAACGTATCTCTCTGCACCCTATTAAAATGAATCATTCATTCAGATGCATCATACATACCTTACAAATGCTTTATAAGAGTGTTCAAGAGGTGCTGAATGTGGGGGAAAAAAACGTGCGTCTCTGAGAGCGAGGTTTACTGGTGTCTCGCCCTATGTCTTTCCATGCAGAGAAAAGTGACGCACTAGTCAAACTAAACGCTCATATACACTCACATTCAAAAACACATTCTCAATATGATGAATTTGATGGCTCGTTTAATAAATCTCTTTCTGTACAGGCCCATTTGCGTCTCTGGCAGACAGCCACGTCTGTGAGGTTTACTAGGGAACTACATATATCTCACGCACTTTACCACTCATCTGAGAGCTTATACTTGTGTAGATGGTTATTCTGTTAGTGTCGAACAATAAAATGAACAGCTGCCAAACGCAAAATGTCAAGAGATGCGAGCTGCCACGCTATGTGACAGACAGACAATGCCGTTAAACAATGGCGAACATTGCTCATAAAATGTGACAACTTTAGCATTTTCAGAAGAATGTTTTTTTAAAAACTCACCATCAAAATGCAAAAGTGTCTCTATGGAGTGTTTTAGACATTTACATCTATTACACCCCCATTTTAATGCAAAAGTAATGATGTTTGACTTAGCAAACACCTTATATCCATCGTTAAAATATTCCAAGTGACTACAGTGGCTCAATCTTAACTTTATCAAACGACGAGAATACTTTTTGTGCGCAAAAAACAAAAACAAAAATAACGACTTTATTTCAACTATTAATTTCCTTCTCTCTGGGCCTCGAGTCAGGTTACTAGTTTAACAGCATATGATCTGCTGTTGCTGTGATACATCACACACATCACACACATGACCAGCGTCGGCCAATAGTGAGCCTACGTGTGACGCAGCTCTATGCAATTACACTAGTTTGACTAGAGGCCCAAAGAGAAGGAAATGAATAGTTGAAATAAAGTTTATTTTTGGCACAAAAAGCATTCTCGTCGCTTGATGAAGTTAAGATTGAGCCACTGTAGTCACTTGGAACTCTTCGAAGTTTCAAGAAGCCTATGGATTAGTATGGAGAAGTGATCTAGCTCTCAGATTTCATCAAAAATATCTTAATTCGTGTTCCAAAGATGAACGAAGGTCTTACAGGGTTGGAGCAACATGAGGGTGAGTAAATACTGACAGAATCCCTTTCAATAAAATCAGATATGTGTTGTTAAACAATATTTAGCCATTACTTCCAAATGTTCGTTAAAATTTACTTTGACTACGATTGGTTTGAACACGTAAACGTGTTTTGATCGTTTTTTTTGTTTTTTGTTTTTCACATAGCTGCAACATAGACTTAAAATACTCCGTCATCAATGGTCATATAAATAAAATCAATGCATGATTATAAACTATAGAGGGTGTTCTTTTTTGTGTACACTCTTATTAACATCAAAACCTTGTGTTTTCGTAAAATAAATAAAATAAACAGGGTGCGCTTTGATTTTTAGATTTTAAAAATCTTTCTGAAACGTGCACGAAAAATTAACTGTAACTCTATAAATACTTGTCACAGAGACACAAAAGATTTCTCTTTATGAAGCTGAAATCTCTTCTTTTAAATGAAGTTTTTTATATAAAAAAGCAACTATTCTCAGTTGATGTAATCTGTATGAAAAGAAAGATGTCAGTGAACGATGTCCACAGACGAGGTAGAGTATGTTGCATGATTTCATTAAAGTTTGATGTATTGCGACATCAGAAACAGAGAAAAACGAAATAATGCCTATTGTAACGCTTGACGTAAAGCAAGTCAAATTTGTAGTTTTCTGTCTCATTCGACAGAAACGCGACCCGTTCTGGCAAACTTGAATAGTGTGCTTATAGCAGATATAGAGCTGCAAAGTAAATCCAGAAGTGCCTTTCACCCTGTTGCGACTTAAAGGGTTAGTTCACCCAAAAATGAAAATTAAGTCATTAATTACTCACCCCCATGCTGTACCAACCCCGTAAGACCTTCGTTCATCTTCGGAACACAAATAAAGATATTTTTGATTGAATCTGAGGGCTGGATCACTCTTCCATAGACAGCCTGAGGGACTGCCTCTTGACGGCCCAGAAAGTCATTAAAGAAAAGGTTTAAATATTCCATGTGCCTACAGTGGCTCAACTATAACTTTATCAAGCGACGAGAATACTTTTTGTGCGAAAAAAACCGTAAATAACGACTTTAATCGACTTTCCATTACTTCCTTATGGGCGCATGCGCGAGAACTGAGACGAGACCGTTCTTCTTCGACTACTTTTTGTTACCGGCTGCTCACCGCTTAGGAGTTTTACCGCCCCCTACCGTATAAGATGACGTACTGATATAGCCGGAGGCGCAAAACGTTCTGTTTACAAGCAGTACGTCATCTTATACGGTAGGGGGCGGTAAAACTCCTAAGCGGTGAGCAGCCGGTAACAAAAAGTAGTCGAAGAAGAACGGTCTCGTCTCAGTTCTCGCGCATGCGCCCATAAGGAAGTAATGGAAAGTCGAATAAAGTCGTTATTTACATTTTTTTTTCGCACAAAAAGTATTCTCGTCGCTTGATAAAGTTATAGTTGAGCCACTGTAGGCACATGGAATATTTAAACCTTTTCTTTTAATGACTTTCTGGGCCGTCAAGAGGCAGTCCCTCAGGCTGTCTATGGAAGAGTGATCCAGCCCTCAGATTCAATCAAAAATATCTTTATTTGTGTTCCGAAGATGAACGAAGGTCTTACGGGGTTGGTACAGCATGGGGGTGAGTAATTAATGACTTAATTTTCATTTTTGGGTGAACTAACCCTTTAATGAACCAATTTTGGAAACATTTTTTAAAGGTAAAAAAATTTTCTTAACTGTGCGTTCACACTGGATGCAAATAGCGCATCAATTTTGCGCCTACTGTGTCTAGTTATACGCTTGAACACTTTGAGTCCATTCACACGTCAAGAGCGAAATTGACGCGTGTAAAAACAAAACTTTGAAGCGAAATTTAAGCGCGTCACGTGCATCAGAATCAAAACCCGTTGGTGGCCATCTTTTTTCTGTTGATCCAGCATTCATCGAGAGAGTCACCGCTCTGCTCTGGAGAGCAGAATAGCGGCATGGGGGATCATCGTCGCCGTATTTGTGTCCATAAAATCCTTCAGAGGCGAACTGTTTGGCGAGTTTCACCATTTGCTCGCTCCAGGAGCTGCGCCTGGATGACGGCCGTTGTCAGCGGTACTTCCGCCAGTCCCGCGGCCAGTTTGATGACCTGTTGTCCTGCATCGGAGCGAGCGAGGATCACCCTCAACCTCATCCACCTAATCTGTCATTTACGTGTATTTTCGTTTTGATGATAAACAGAGCCAGCCTCCAAAAGTTATTAACCCGTCCTGTGATTTTTTCTCTCTCACGTCCAGACATGAATTTATGCACATGTTGTTGGTTGTCTTTACGTTAAAATAATATTTCATATAATCTAGATATGGAATAAATAACATTTAATGAACATGTCTCGGTGTAAGTGTCCCGGTGTACTTCGGGTTTGTTTAAACTTAAAAGAACCACCATATACATAAAGGCTTAGCTGTTTTTTCCTGGTTATTATTGGTATTATGGTTACACAATACACCATATCTGTGTTATGACTTTTGTTTCACTTCCTGTCTTGTATGCCATGTTTGTAGTCTTTTGTAGTTTTTAACGTTGATTTGTTCCTTGATTGAATCAACAGGTGATCCTAGGCATCGTTAACAACTATTTTATCTTGTAAAATGTGTGATCAGTACCACCGCTCCCTATACACAGAGTATGTGTGATCGCGATTTGGAAAGTGAAAGTAAAAAGTAAACGCATTTGAAAGCGATTTCAATACCCCACATATTGATAGCACCTTCCTGATGCCGCCCACAAATTATATGATATTATATACAATATAAAGTAATTACCAAACTACATAAGTGTGAGACAACGCAAAAGCATTGAAATATTTATCCCTCCCATCTCATATTTTTTTTCCATGTCCCTTTAGGGGGCCCGTAGAATGTGTCATATGTATTTTGAATCATGGACTCACGTTGGAGACAGTCTGCATTCAGAAGGTCCTGGCATTTCTCGTGGCATTTCACCCCGCATTCACTGCAGCGCATGCCCTGTCGGGCGATGCCCCAGAGCAGACCCTCACACTCGTGACAGTAGGTGGGTGCAGTGGCCGTCCACACCTCGAAATTATGGGGCGTCGTGGAGGAGATGGGATAGATCAACGCTTGGAGAGTCTTTCTGAGCACATGCAGTTTCTGAGAAAAAAAAGAGAAAGTTTACAGCAAAAGGTAACACAGATACACATTTTTATTTTATTTTTTAATCAATGGAGGCCGTAGAAGAAGAAAAAAAGAGCATTTGCACTGATCACAGGATTCGATATGCACATTACTGCTGTGAACAAGCATGGTCTGGAAATCTACAGTTGATTATTACAGCTTTAAGGATAACCTGTGTTCAATAGATTGCTGAGTAAAGGTCCAGTTACTTTACATACTGTACGAATGCTGGATACTGGAAAAGCAAGCTCATGCAAAGAAGTTTCACATTTTGGTGCCAGAGACAGACTTATTATTGGGAGATGTGAGGGTCCGTGGCTCTACCATTGGAAAAAGCTTAATGGCTAACTTGGATCATGTGTGCCTTGACGACCAATCACATTACAGCCTTGGCGTCATTGAATTTCATTCAGAGTTGTGTGACAGGCAATCACTGTCTGTGGAAATGAATTAGAAGTGCCGTAAACTGAACCATACCTGTCACACATTTTTTCTTGACTTCTATAATAAAACAGCATTTTTTAGGTGTAAACTCTAAAAATAGATCAATCAAAAATTACTGTTTAAGAGCAAACATGTTGAAGATTAGCCGATGGGCTGTTGATTCATTAAATGAAAAGCTATTTCCTCACAAAAACAACCCAGGGTCTAAATGAAGTTCCGGGTAAAAAAGTCAAGTCAAATTGTCAAGTCAACCACTGTAAATATTGTAAATATTCAATATATCACCCAGCCCTAGGAAAGAACTCATTTTAAATGCATAATGTAATAAAATATTAGTCAAGGACTAAGAGATGTCATTCAGATTCATCTACATGATCTGAAGTTTAAGACCTCCACTCCTCTTACAAAATACTTCAAAAAGTAGACGACTCAGTCAGCTGGTGTTCAGAAACATCAAAATATATATATATATATATATATATTCTCTTAAAGATGTCATGCTGATATTAATTTCCGTAATTATAGAGCAGATATTTAAGCCCATAGTGTTCAATCTGTCCCTGTTCAGACTAAAAAGGTCTCTTAAAACCTGTCAAGATGAACATGTCATATTTCCCCCCAAAATTAAGATTTGTTGAATACAACACACAATTATGTTTATTTAAATTTGGGTTTCGATACATTACAATTACATGCATTTAGAATTAAACAATATATTGTTGTTGTTTTTTTCACATTACATTAATAAAAATAGTGGAAGAAAATTTCCTTGTTAAAAAAACTCAGGTTAAAAACATTTTCGTAATAACTAAAATTCTTAGTTATCTTAAAGGGTTAGTTCACCCAAAAATGAAAATTAAGTCATTAATTACTCACCCCCATGCTGTACCAACCCCGTAAGACCTTCGTTCGTCTTCGGAACACAAATGAAGATATTTTTGATTAAATTTGAGAGCTGTATAACTACCACATTGGCTCCTCTTGACGACCCAGAAAGTCAATGAAGAAAATGTTTAAATATCCCAAGTGACTACCGTGGCTCAACTATATGTTTATCAAGCGACGCGAATACTTTTTGTGCGAAAAAACAAACAAAAATAACGAGTTTATTCGACTATTTCTTTTCTTCCTTGTAGGCCAGAACGAGACTTCCTTAGATTTCCACGACGCATGCGCGAGATTTGCGATCTGCTCACATCAGCTTACACCACTTCAGATCGCAATTCTCGCGCATGCGTTGTGGAAATCTAAGGAAGTCTCGTTCTGGCCTACAAGGAAGAAAAGAAATAGTCGAATAAACTCGTTATTTTTGTTTGTTTTTTCGCACAAAAAGTATTCGCGTCGCTTGATAAACATATAGTTGAGCCACGGTAGTCACTTGGGATATTTAAACATTTTCTTCATTGACTTTCTGGGCCGTCAAGAGGCAGTCCTTTAGGAGCCAATGTGGTAGTTATACAGCTCTCAAATTTAATCAAAAATATCTTTATTTGTGTTCCGAAGACGAACGAAGGTCTTACGGGGTTGGTACAGCATGGGGGTGAGTAATTAATGACTTAATTTTCATTTTTGGGTGAACTAACCCTTTAAGGTCACCAAGAAATCAAAATCGACCCTATATCTACTTTGTTAGCGCACTAGTCACTACTAGCGCATTACTAGTCTTGTGGTAAACAATTCATCCATGAAACTTTCTTGAATTTTGTCTTCATAATCTTTAATCAAAATCTAAAAAAAGTACTTCCCTCTGGAATTGCCTTCATTCTCTAATGACATCAGTTTGACAGCTTGGGTAGAACATCCCTTCCGCTTGCTGCAAGCTTTTGACAGCAAGCTGAATGGAACGCCTACTTTTCTAGATCCAATCAGTTCCCAGTGGGAAAAAAACAAGCTAAGCCATCTATTTTTCTCATTCAGTATTCAGTTTCACTCAGAAAATATGTCAATACTGAAGTCAAGTCGGTCATTTTTAAATTAAAATGATAATAAAAAATATTAAACTATAAAAAAATCTCGATGAAACTAAAACTATTAATGAACAACATCACTATGCAAAAAATGAAGAAAAAAACACGAATGGTCCATAAAATAAGCTTAATTTTCTGTAAGCAAAAAATTCCTTCTTTTTTCTTTAGATTTCAAGCTCATGTTTTTGACCGGTTTAATGTGATTTAACTACTTTGTCAATAGCTTGCATTCATGGACAAGAGTGGTGTAGAGTATCAGGAATCCTTTTGAAAGAGCAGAATCAATGTGTGTGTCCTTTTACAGCTGGATAAGACAAAGAGAGAGTGAGATATGAAGGAGAGGTGAGCTGGTGATGCACAGTGCTCTAAACTGATGTTTTCTTGTTTCCCATTGTGCACTTTTGCTGATGTGTGTTCTCTGCTCTCCACCCACAGAGTCATTACATTAAGAGAACTTCAGCCATGTCTAAATGGTGTAAATGTAGAAAAAAAAATACAGTATAAAAGTAATTGTACTGCAGTGTGAAAATCCAGGTTAATTAGCAAAGTAAACCTAAAAATAGACAAAGGGAGAAACTTCCTTTACCGATCTCTGAGGGGAAATTTATACACGAAACAGCAACAGCATCCAATGTGAAGTGAAAAAATAACTGAATGCACAATTGAAACTGCACAGAATGATTAATGTCAGTTGTCCTAGTTATATAAAACACTTAAAGAGGTCACATCATACATTTACAAATATTTTTTTTTTCATGAGGTTTTTCATGAGGCACTTATGTTGTTAGTCAAGGTTTAATGCACCTTCATATATATTTTTATGACTATTTGTTTATGTTTTTTTTAAAAAATCCTAAATGTAAGATTTCTGTGTTTGAATTGTATATAAAATGTACATCCATTTGGATTACAGTTTTAACAAACTAATAGGCCTACATTTTATGTATTATTATGTATTTATACTTTTTATGTATATTTGTCAGTCATGCAAAAAAAAAAATGGTAAGAAACTGTTTTTTATGCACTCAAAATAATCATGGAATAGTTGAACTATTTAACCTATTTTATTTTATTTGAATAATCATTTTTAAAATGCATTTATTTCGATTGCTTAAAGTATGAACATGGTTAAAATATGGTCTTTTTGCTGCTGGCCGTCACGTGCTCGACTCCTGCTTGACTGACGGCTGATTTCAGGCCAGCGGGGGTAATGTTACGCAAACGAGGAGGATTAACAGCTGGCCAAAACGGAAAAGGACTTTCCAATTTAATCTAGCAACTCCAGAGCAACTAGATGAGTTACCCTCAGAATTAAACACTGGGCTATCAGCCAGAGAGAGAGAGGGAATATTCATGGAGTAATCGCTCACGCTGAACGAAGTGGTCAGCACTGTCACAAACTCCAGCAGAAATGAGGGACAGAGGAATTAAACCATCTGTCAAACACACAGCCGCTGACCCACAAGCCTCACAGCATCAAATTACTAACAGCATATGCACTTTAAAAAAAAAGGGATCCTTAAGGGGGGTGGGTTTCACAACGATGCAATAGAAGATCTATTTCTGTTTCCCCAAAGAACCAACAATAACCTCTTTTCCACTATGAAGAACCTTTTGTGGAATGGAAAGTGTCCGTAGATGGAAGTGTTCTACATGGAACGGTCAATGCCAATAAAGAACCTTTATTATTTTTTTTTTTAAGTTATTTTGGAATGACTTGAATGTGGATAAATATAATAAAATAAAAAATAAAAAACATTTTCTTATTCTCGGCTTGTCCTTTAAGAAACATCAGCCAATTAAACATTTGGAAGAGTCCTAAACACCCGGAGCTCTCAGCTTCCAGACCCACTGTGGTGAAGTCTTTTGTTGGGATCTGTTTCTGTGCTGGAGGCCACAGCTGGTCCTGGAAATGCTGTGATTTCACTTGATCACTGTGTCTGGAGACATTTGTACGGATCATGTGCACAACCTTTGAGGTCAGTAAGTTTTTTGTTTGTTAGGAAAGAAATGAACCCTTTTATTCAGTAAGGATGCATTCATTTGATCAAAAGTGACAGTAAAAGATTTCTGTTTTCAATAAATTACGTTTCCTTTGAATGTTCAATTCATAAAAGAATCCTGAGAAAAAATATATCACGGGCTCCACAGAAATATGAAGCTGCACAACTGTTTTCAACATTGGTAATAATAAGAAATGTTTCTTGAGCAGCAAATCAGCATATTAGAATTAATTCTGAAGGATGACACCGAAGAATACCGACGCCATTCTGCTCCAGCGTATCAACTATGGCGGACTATGATGACAGCTCGCTCAGGGCGGGTCTGTGTTGAAACGCTGCTGTCAATCAACCATCATAGGAGTAATGATGCTGATAATATTCAAATAGAAAACAGTTATCTTAAATTGTAATCATATTTTACAATATTTCTATTTTTTTTTTACTGTATTTCTGATCAAATATTTGGTGACCATAAGCTTTCAAAGACATTACTTTTCAAAAGCTTGGGGTCGGTAAGACCACACTATCACTATTTTCACACTATCAAGAAGAGTTAGTTATT